ACAAAATCTGACCATGTGTAGCAACATGGATGGAACTTGAGTGTGTTATGCTGAGTGAAATAAGTCAGGCAGAGAAGGACAGATACCATATGTTTGCACGTATAGGAGGATTAGGAGAAACTTAACAGAGGACCATGGGGGAGGAGAATGGGAAAAATAGTTGGGGAAAGGGAGGGAGGCAAACCATGAGAGAGCCTTGAATGCTGAGAACAAACTGAGGGCTGATGGGGGTTGGGGAGAGGGGAAGAGGGGTGATGGGCATGGAGGAGGGCGCTAGTTGTGATGAGCACTGGGTATTATATGGAAACCAACTTGACAATAAACTATTTAAGAAAAAAAAAACCCTGATATGTTTAAATTTAGATTCCAGTAAAACAAAAAACAAAAAACAAAGAAAAATATTGTTCTCCATGCAAATATGGAAGATAGCGATAAAGTCAGATATTGGCTGGAATTTAGACTTTACAAAGCCCTGTTCTCAAACCAGTGGAGTTGACATCCTAGGAGCCTATAATGGAAGCTGCTGTGTGTGTGTGTGTGTGTGTGTGTGTGTGTGTGAAAGAAAGAGAGCTGTAAGCATTTGAAATAAGTACTGAAGACATAGTAGGTGTGGTACATGGAATAGAGTTACTAGCACTGTACTGGACATATATTAGAACATTAACAAATATTTGTGGCCTAAGCATGAAACATTCTAAAAGGACTTTTTGACCTTGAAGATTATATTAACAGAGGAATTGGGAAATGCTGGCCCTTTGGTTACAACATTCATATAGCTATATGATTTCTAAAGAATATCACATGAGACCTTGACTTGCTGTTATAAAAATGAGTGGAAATGAAATTCCATGTGCATTTAGTGCCAAGGTAGCTGAAAAATGAACCAAGTGATATAACCAAGTTGAGAATTGCTGAACACAAGACAGTGGCTAATTCTATCTCTGATAAAGCCTTGCCCAGGATAACACACACATTTGTAGGGCTTTCCTGAGCTCAAAATGCATTAATTTTATCATCTGTAGAAAGATACACTTTCTAGCAATATTCTTCTCAATATATAAAAGTTATAGTGGACATGGACAAAGTTTGCTTTGGTTAATACAGCTCATGATTCATGGCACAGACACTTGTTACTTTATTCTATTAGTTAAGGATCTCTGGGTTGAAAGTGATAGAAATTTAGTGAAAGTAAAGTAAGGGGGAAAAGCAAATTATTTGTGTGCTTGAAGTCAAAGTTCAGCAGGCTGACTAATTTTTAGTATGGCCAGATTAACTTGCATACCATCAGAAATCTCTCCATCTCTGCTCTGCTTTCTTTCGTGTTCACGTTATTCATGAGTGGGCTTTCTCTATCTGGTGGAAACGTGGCTGATGTGTTAGTGCCATGTTTAGTTGATCCTTACAGTGCATCATCCCAGAGGAGAGAGTAGGCTTCTCTGTTCCACTCTCAATATTTAAAAAGAACGCTGATTGACCTACCTAAGATGAAGCCCACCAGGTGAAGGTGCTGTGTGTGTGTGTGTATGTGTGTGTGTATGTGTGTGCATGGAGACCCCTTTGGTCAGGGGACAAATGGGGGCAATGGAAGAAGAACAGAACTATGGGGGCTGTCATGCGTCAGTCCTGGGGTCAGTGGATGAGATCAGGGGTGACTGTGAAGATGGGCTGGCTAGTCAGTGTTCACACTAGCTGCTGTATGCCTCTTCTTATCATCCGCCACCTTCCTAGACCTGGAACAGGATCATCAGCCTTGGGTACTGTATGATTTCAAGGGCAGGGAAAATCATTGATACTAGCCTTCAAAATGACTTGGCGATGGAATTTACCAAGTAGTGAAAGTTTGCCAGTAATTGTATAGACTTAAGAGATCTTTCCAGTGATTACATACTTTCCAACCGTGCATGTCTCTGAAAGTAGAGACAATATGTTTCCAGGCGCACAGTATGTCTGGAATTAGTTTTACCCAAGGCAAAGTGTATTGTTCCAGATTAATTTCTTATAGATAAAAAGCCCCAATCCAAATATCTGGCAGAACTGGCTCACGGTTGCTTCCTGTCACCAGTGGGGGATCAGAAAGGAGGAAGGCCTAGACAGGGGAAGGAATGCCCAGTGGATGAGTCCCTGCCCACATCAGGCCCAGGAGGTAAGTAAAGAGAGGCTGGCTATCACTGAAGCGCTGAAAGGGACTGAAGTCTTAGCTTTTAAAAGAAATTGGCGTCTTTGGGGCATTGGGGTCAAGCTCCCTCCCCCTGAATCACGCTTATCCTATAGAGATCAATTTTGGTTATTCAGTCTGGACAACACCAAGCACTGAGTTATGTAGTCAGTGCTGTTATTGTTAAGACATGAGGCCCACTTTCCTTTCAGGGGCATGTGACCCCAGCCAGCATCATAAAATAAACAAAAGAAAATCCACCGAAACAATGAAAAAATATTCTATTCTTTAAGTTCACTTATGTGTCTGAGTAAAGGGCGTATAAGTAAAGGGAATCACATAGTTTGGGGTAAGAATTTCTGTGGTTATAATTTGAAAAGACTTGTCTAGAGTTTATTCTAAATCAGCTCTTCAAGTCATAAGGTTGTTTTGTTGCTGTTGTCGTTGTTGATTTTGGTTTGGATTTTTTGATTTATTTGTTTTTGTCTTGGAAACGTTGGGTCTTCTGTTACAGAATAAATTCCTGAAGTTTTTCTTGAAAATCAAGATACCATACAAATAATTGATACTAACCTTCAAAGCAACTTGGAGATTGAATTTGCCAACTAGTGAATGTTTGTCAATACCTGTATAGATTTAGATCTTTTCAGTGAATACATATCTTCCAACCATGCATGACAAACAGATACTACTGGTCTTGTTCTACTTGTCTCTGAGAGCAGATGGCTACCCACCAGCTGCCTAGCTGTCCCATCACATCTTCCTGCCCCTGCTGCTCTCTTATCTTAAAGGTCAATACTTGCCCTTCTATATACTGACTGACATCATAGAAAATAAAAAAAGAAGTATAAGAAAGTCCTGAAGTTCAACAGAGCAAAACTGACATTTAAAAAAAGGAACTTTAACTAGGAAACTAAAGGGATATATGCATGTACCAAATCCCAGAGGAAGTTCTAGAGGGTCTGATAAAAAGTGTTTAAGCTATGGAGTAGTTAGATGTGACCTCTGACCTTGTCAAATCACAACCTCTCGGAGGCTCGCATAAGGTAAATGACCATCTATTTCATGATAATTATGACTGCCTTGTGGGCAAGTGTGAGGGTTAAAGACAGAGTGTGGACTGCAAATGTGGACTTGTGCAGACTGAAGCTTGGACCTGCTGAGGATGTGCCTGGAGAAATGACCAGCTCTTCATCCAGTTGTATGGTTAGTTCTTGGTATTGGGCTGAGACTGTCTCTGGGTCTGTGCTAAAATTCATTTTTTTCTGACCATATGGGAGAGCAATGAAACTAATTCTCTAGCTCCTACTCTGTCTCTTATTGTCTCCCTCCATGCAATTCTGAGTAATTTTTAATCCACTTATTATTGTGTGCAATTGTGTATAACTAGAGGTACTTACTGTATTGTTATCACATTTTGGAGCAGTTTTCATGAGGAACTGTACAAATATTTTATGATACATATCTCTGCACAAGAAAGACAAACTTAAACACACAGACAAGACTAGGCCCAAAGTGGAGAAGGCAGCTTTTGATTGCCTACACTGAGCCTTAGGCCAGACCTTTGCTCAAGGGGTAGTGGAGCTTCTGGGAGGTCATTGGTGGGGTTTTTATGGTCCTATAATCTCCACTCACACCAGTCCCTCTTCCAAACAAACATACCACCCCCTGTATGCTTTCACTTTCAAGCCAACTTCTCTACCTTGTCCCAATTACTCCCCACACCCCCCAATCAAACTGTCATTCATAACATCCTTGTGCATAGAGAAGATGATAGGGCTACTGGCAAGGACCCTTTGCTGGGAGAGTTGAGTAGTAACTGTGGTATAAATTGGCATTAAAATTTCTTTTTACTTTGTTGCTGAAAGATATTTACTTGATTTTGAGAATAAGGATGAATAATTTTAGGGCAATATTAAAAAAAACAAAACAGGGGCGTCTGGGTGGCTTAGTCGGTTAGGCGTCCGACTTTTGCTTAGGTCATGATCTCGCGGTTCGTGGGTTTGAGCCCCGCGTCAGGCTCTGTGCTGACTGCCTGCTCAGAGCCTGGAGCCTGTTTCAGTCTGTGACTCCCTCTCTCTCTGACCCTCCCCTGCTCACGCTGTCTCTCTCTGTCTCCTAGAAATAAATAAAACATTAAAAAAAAAATTAAAAAAAACAAAACAAACACGGAAAAGAAATCCTTAGTGTATGTATTAAATGAGGAAAATTATATTGCATAGGCTTCCTTTGGTATTTAGATGTTATCATCAATATTAATCTAGATATTAATCCAGAGATCATAGAAATTTTTTTCAGATGCTATTTTTATTTACATAGAATAGAAGTTAAAAGAAGATACTGATTCATTCAGTAAAAATATTTTACAACAGAAAATAAATGTGTGAAAAAGTATATTCATATAAAATAGGATATGCATGGAAAAATATTCATGCAAGTAAAAGTTCCATTTATGTAAAAATTGGCATATTTATGTCAAGTTAACTGTCTCAATAGAGAGTGAAAAAGTATTGCTTCAAGATTGCTTTCATCTGTAGCACTCTCTTAAAAACATTAATCCAACACTATTTTGTTAAATGTCTACTCTAACCTTGTCTCTTAAATGTTTATTTAGCTGTCTTACAGCAATGCAAATTGTTGTTGGGATGCTATATTCAGATATAAAGTTCTGCGTTTCAGAGAGCCTTTTATTCTTTGCCTCCTCTTTAAATTCTAATGTTTTGAGCTATGTTGCTTAAATTAGTTTACAAGTAAAATGTAAAGGAAGAAAATGGATAAACAAAGAGTTCCCCAAGATGTAATTAATGGCAAACAAGAAACAAACTGCATCAAGAAAATATATACACAACTTTCAGTGAGATCCTTCAAACCTGGGACAGCCCATTCTCAGAGAGTTTTTGATTTCCATATTGTGGAGCACTCCACAACCCTTCAAGGAAGTTCCACACATTTCTCTTCACTTCTCCGACTTCTTCTGTCTAGCATGGGCTGGTACATTTCAGCCACTACACAATAATCCATGTGAGGTGCCAGAGCTCCAATGTCAACAACTCTGTGAGCTCCTTCATATACCTTTTGTTCCTGTACATAAGGGGAAAAGTAAGATGACAAATGGTTTTCAGTTAGTCACTGGTTTGTTCTATTAAGTTGTCCATAGTCTCGGTAGTAGTTGTTGTAGGGTTTCTCGGTAGAAATTGTAGGGTTTCTTCCCAGATACATCGTCTTTCTCCAGAGTTCTAGTTCACAACCTGATAAAGAGACAGGTCATGGCTGTGTACATGCGACATGAGGGCTACTGACTGGTTGGCCCAGTGGCCAGAATTTCTTTTCCAAGAATTTGCACTGCACAGTGAGGAAAATGGAGGCGACTTGGAGACCACTGTAGACAAGAGACATGTGGCCAGAGAGACGGATTGATTGGGATCCTTTAAGACTCTCTATTTGTCCTTCCCTGTCACTTGAAAGCCTGCAGCCTTTTATTTCCTGCTTCTTCCTGTCCCTAAGATCACTTATCTATTTGGAATTTTATTAAACTCCTCACTTCTCCCTCCACTTTTCTGTTTGAACCAGTTCGAGCGAGCTTCTGTGCCACAACCATAGGAACACTGTTTTAGATGGACACCAAAAAGGAACATTCAATTAACTATCAAGCAAGATAAAGGCACAGATGGTAGATTAAAATACTATAGAAAAATTGGCATAAATGTATAATGCTGTAATCCAAAAGCCACTTAAAAGGAGTGTGTAAAACCCATAAAAATGAATATTTGTGGTCATCAAATGGAATTAAATATTGTTAACAACAATCTTAAATATGCACCAATCTTTAGACAGCCACTTTCATTTTCTTCAGATTAACCAGGCAAGATGAAGTGGAGACCAGCTGAGCAAAGGCACAAACCCCCCCCACACACACACACATACACACACACATATATCTGATGGTGATGCCGATTGCAAGTTGTTCATCAGTGGGATGGAAGTGAGAAGGAACTGAAAAAAGGTAAAGAAAAATAAGAGGGGATTGAGCGGCAAAAGAATGGACATACTTTAGAGCTAAATGTTACTTAAGTGAACAAAAGAAAGATACCAAACTTGCCTTTTCACCTGAACTTACCTTTTCTAGTGAATTGTTAATTATAAAGACTCGATATACTAGCTCATAGTAATTTTCTATTGATACATTTTTTCCTTTTTGGTCTCTATATGGTAAACCTGGAGCCTGGAGAATCACCAACAAAGATCCATTAACTTGAGTTATATTCATGACTGGAGGATCAATTTTCGCTGGAGAAAGAAGAGAATTTGACAAATCATTAAAAAAATGTAATATTTCACATGGACACGTTATACATAATAACAAGTCACTACTAAACTCAGAGATGTGGGCAAAATAATTATGAAGAAATACTGCTGACACCTAAAATATGAATGTCTGAGAATTCTCTTTGGAGACAATTTTTTGTTTGCAAAGACTGGTACCTCCTGATTCAGCTTTAAATTTTTTTTTATTTATTTCTGAGAGAGAGAGAGAGACAGTGTGAGCAGGGGAGGTTCAGAGAGAGTGGGAGACACAGAATCTGAAACAGGCTCCAGGCTCTGAGCTGGCAGTCAGCACAGAGCCCTATGCGGGGCTGGAACCCACGAACCGTGTGATCATGATCTGAGCCCGTCAGCCACTCAACCGGCTGAGCCACCCAGGCGCCCCTCAGCTTTAAGAGGACATTTATTAACATTTTCCCTAGCCCATAGTGATGGTTTTGGAAAATGAAGTGTAAAAAGTTACTTGGATGGAGATTTAAAATATTTTGTAGGCTCTTAAAGATGTGAAATTTCAAAGCAGCTTTAAAACCATTTGAAGATTTGTTGTTATAAAATTAATTCAACAGGGTTCTGTTATATACTACGGAAGAGCATGAAGGATCCAGAGAGAGAATTTTTGGTCCTTGCATTTTGATATCATTAATCAGATCATTAAGAACCAGGAAAGAAAATTGGATAAATTAACAGTCACTTTAATTTTCTTCAGATTAAGTATGGCAATTCTAGGAAGAATTAATTCCATAATGGATTTTGTTGTTGTCTTCCTTTTTGGTATTCATTACATATTTTCAGTTTGTAGATTTGTATCTTTATAATTCTTGAAAATTAACCATTCTTGATAGATAAGAAAGATGATAGCTAGATAGCTAGACGGACAGAGATAAGTACATAAAGAGCTATATATGCTTTTCTTTTGGAATTTCAGTTCCACACCTGTTAGAATTTCTTACTTGATTCTCTATAGATCTTAACTTCTCTTTTGTTTTTCCATCTGTTTTCCTCAGCAGAGTATTCTGAATGGCTTTTTCAGACCTGTCTTCCAGTCCACCAATTTACTAATTCAGCCTTGTCTAAACAGATCTTTAAGTCCCCAAATTAATTTTTTTTATTTCTATGAGTTTTTAAAAATTTTTATGTCTTTTTCAGTCTATCTGGTCCTAAAGAATAATATTTTGTCCCTTGATTATGCTTTTATTTCCTCTGTTATATCTTTAAACTTATTTATTTTGCTATTTGCTTCCACTATGGTAAATACTAGAAATGCTAGTAAGGTAGATGACTGTTTCTTCCAAACTTGCTTATATTGATCTACTACCTTGTGTTTTAAGTGCGAGCACATGTTTAAAGTTGATACTTTCAGGAGTGTCTGGGTGGCTCAGTTCGTTAAGCATCTGACTTCGGCTCAGGTCATGATCTCACGGTTCGTGGGTTTGAGCCCCCCCGTCGGGCTCTGTGCTGACAGCTAGCTCAGAGCCTGGAGCCTGCTTCAGATTCTTGTCTCCCTCTCTCTCTGACCCTCCCCTGCTCACGCTGTCTCTTTCTCTCTCTCAGAAATAAATAAAACATTTTAAAATAATAATAAAGTTGATACTTTCATTTTTGCTGCTTTGGAGCAAAAATTTTTAATTTAATTTAATTAATCTTTTTAAATCTGGGGAAAGTACAGGTGAGTTCACCTGCTTGAGGAAATCACAGGGGTCAGAACGACCTGAGTGTAAGGGATGGTCTTTGCCCTGAGAGAACCATGTGATCGAGGTCTCCCCTGCCAGGTTAAGTATGAATTTTTAAATTAAAAAAAAGTTTTTTAACGTCTATTTATTTATTTATTTATTTAGCATGAGAGAGACAGAGACAGAGCATGAGCAGAGGAGGGGCAGAGAGAGAGACCCAGAATCTGAAGCAGGTTCCAGGCTCTGAGCTGTCAGCACAGAGCCCGACGTGGGGTTCAAACCCACAAGCCATGAGATCATGACCTGGGCCAAAGTTGGTCACTCAAACAACTGAGCCATCTAGGTGCCCCTGAATTTTTAATTTTAAATAAACATTTATTGGCCTGTAAAGTAGATACTGACAAATAAACCATATGGCTCAATAAATCTTTACAAATAAACACTCCTGAATAGCTATTATCCAGATTAAGGAACATTACTAGCACCTTGGAAACCTCCTTCATGGTTCCTCCAATTACTTAATCCCAGAAGATAACCACAGTTGTACTGATGTGTATTACCATATATGTCAGTTTTTGAAGTCATGCAATATACACTTTTTTTGTGACTGGATTCTTTCTTTCTCTATATATATCTAGATCTAGGTCTACAGATATAGATATAGATATAGACACAGATATAGATAAAGATATAGATAGATACAGACACAGATATATAATTATGGGCTGAATTTTGTCCCCTGAAAATTCATAGGCTGAAGTCCTAAGCCCCCTGTTTCTCAGAATACGACCATGTTTGGAGACAGGGACTTTAAAAAGGTTAATTAAAGTAAAATGAAGTCCTATTGACTTCATGGGTGATATTGGTGGGCCTTAATCCAATATGACTGGTGCCCTTACAAGAAGACTCCGACATGCGTGAGCACAGAGGGATGACCACGTGAGGACACAGAGAGAAAGCCAAGCCAAGGAAGAGAGGCCTTAGAAGAAACCAAACCTGCTGATACTTTGGTTTTTGACTTCTGGCCTCAGAACTGTGGGAAAATAAATTTCTGTTGTGTAAGCCAGGGAGTCTGTGGTACTCTGTGGTTGCCCTCGCAAACTAATATATATATTATATAAAGTATATAATAATCCATATTGTTGCATGTATCAAGAGTTCATTCTCTTGATTGCTATGGAGTATTTTTTTAATGTTTATTCATTTCTGAGTGAGAGAACATGAGCAGGGGAGGAGCAGAAGTGGGGAGGGGGACAGAGGATCTGAAGCAGTCTCTGTGTGGAGAGCAGAGAGCCTGACGCGGGGCTCAAACTCACGAACTGTGAGATCATGACCTGAGCTGAAGTCAGACACTCAACTGACTGAGCCACCCAGGTGCCCCTATATAGTATTTAATTATATGTATATCACAATTTATCTATTCACAGGCTTAGGTTGTTATATCAGTTTAGCTTTTATAGATATTTCCATGCTTCAGGGAACCTACCAGTTAATATTCCCTTTAGTGGTATATGAAAGTCTCATTTTTCACATTCTAACATTTGGCATTATTATTTTTTTTAATTAATTTTAGGCATTCTGGTAAGTGTACAGTACTAATTCACTGTGTTTTTAAGTTGCATTTTCCTGACAACTAATGGACGTGTTTATTGGCCATTTGGATGTCCTCTTCTGTGAAGAGCTGTTCAAATCTTCTGCCCTTTTTTTTAATTGGTTGTCTCGTCTTCTTCTTATTAATTTGTAAGAGTTCTTTGCACATTCTGAACACAGTCCTTTGTCAGATATAGCACTGTGAATATCTTCTCACTGGGATTTGTATTTTCATCATTTTAATGGTTCGTTTTGATAAAAAGAAGCTCTTAAATTTAGTATAGTTCAATTTACTGGTCATTCCCTCCATCAGCAGTACTTTTGGGGATCTGCCTGTCTCAGAGTCATGAAAATATTCTCCTATGTTATCTTACAGAATAGTAGGTGGCAAACATTTTCTGTGAGGTGCCAGATAATAAATAAAATGCAGCTTTTGGGCTGCATGTGTCTCTGTTTTAACTGCTCACTATGCCATTGCCTGCAGTGTGAAAGCAGTCCCAGGCAAAATGGAAGGAAATGGGTGTGACTATGTTACAATAAAATTTCTTTACAAAAATAGAAGCAGGTGCTTTGGCTCACAAGGTGTAGTTGCTAAGTTTTATTATTTTCATCCAGCCAGATTTGGTCTTGTAAACAGGTGACGTAAGGGAACAAGATTTATTACTTTTCCAATTGATCTAGTGTTGCACATGAATTTAGCCTCAGTCCTTCTATCTTGACCCAGAGTTTACCTTCTGGGCCTGCACTCGGAGGGCTACATAACTATCCTCAGGTGCAAGGAAAAACACAAATAAGAAGACAAGGGTCAATATTCCCTGATAATGGTTATTTATGACACAGTTTGCATGCTTTGTCCTTGAGATAATGGCTATTCCCTTGAAACTCCCCAAAACCCTGAGCCATGCCTTCAAAATAACAAATGTTGCCTTCCATACCGGGATAAGGGCTGCTCTCTTTATCGCTTTGTAGCCTTTTTACAATAACTGGTCAATTCTGTACTGCCCACTTGCCTGCTTGCTCATTATAGAAAGCCCTAAGTCCTTGGACTCGGGGCCACACATTTAGAGTTCTGTGTTAAGTCTGTGCAGTCCCAGCGAGTATAAAGACTCCCTTAATTTGGCTTCAGCGGTCTCGGTTGGTCCCAACGTCTCTCGGCATAACAATCATCTCATTTAGACCATAGTGATGACGCTGAACTAAACCACGGACACAAATCAAATGACTGTATACCTGTGTTGTGTTGCTTCTCAACTCTGGGATTTGCTTTTGTGTCTGCAAGGTATCTCTGTCAAGATGGTGTTTTCTGAAACTTGAAAGTTGGATATATCTGAATCGCAAGCCTTTATGAATTTAGGAAACATCTGATAACTAAGTCAAGAATGAATCATACGCCCTTCTTTGTTTCCTCTCTTTCTTGGGAGGGCTTTTCCTAGTCTGCTCTTTTTTCTTATAGGAGCTCTTTGACCGGCTAAGATTTTATGAGGGTGCTAATTGTAACTCCCCACCTTGCATAGACCTACAACCTTGTCTCCTGCCCCAAGGGTGGGGGGCTGTTGCCACTTAGGGGCTAGTTACCAAGTCTGGGAAAATGCCCTCAGGACAGCGAGACTTCACTTTGTTTACCCTCTAGTTTCCCGTCTGGGAAACAGCTACTGTTTTCCAGCTACTTTGCTTTGCAGACCCAGGAGATTTCCTTTGTTTCCT